GAGTTAGGTGTGTCTGGAGTAAGAAAAATGCACACCCAGGCATGACTGGCAGAAAAGTCAATGGGCAATTACTCACGAAGGCTGTTGAGGAACAAACAAGAATGAATGGGCCCACATCTAAACTAGAAGTTAAGCTAAAACATATGGAGGAAACCCACTCCCCCCTTTTTTAAAAAATATTCACTTAAAGGCTGGAACAGTCTACACAAAGAGGCCATGCATCTCCCTTAGAGGAAGATGTTGAGAACAGTTTAGACTGCCTCGTGGCTGCTTCACCAAGCTTGATCCTATGCCTCTGCCCATCACATCTGCTTTTCAGTAAAGCTGTGGGGGAGGCAAGTTGTCCCCTTGGACCTTTAAACACAATCTGTCTACGGGTTTTGCATTTTTTTTTTCCTAGCAGAGTGAGATTTTCATGTTTGTTTTGCAAAGAAAAGGTTTAGTAGGTTTCTTTTCTTTCTTTCTCTTTTTCTTTTGCAATAAACTATTGAACAAGATGTACATAATTTCACCCCAGGTTTTAACCGCTCCCAGATTTGGATGCTGTGTGTCTTGACGTAGCCTTTAGCGAGTTAGGATGGATCTGAAAGGTCAGAATGTGCCTGAACTTTTGACTCTTCCCTTCAGCTCACTCACTGTTGTGTCTGCATTGTTTTAATCTTAAAAATGGAAAACCAGCAGCAATTCTTTCACCATATCTTGTGCAGAGAGACTTTTCCCCTCTTTATAGACCATGCCGCCATCCAAAAGCTTGAAAAACACCCCAGGAAACCATCACGTCATTTGACAGGACTAATCGCCACACACAACTTGCATTTCCTTCCTGGACGTCATGGGCCACAGTGCCGTAGTTCCCACGTTATTTCTGTCGTTGTCCCCAGAACTGTAACTCTTGATCCTGAGCCTGGGCAGGACAGCTTGTCTCAGCATGAACTCTTATGTAAGTGTCTGTGGGAAAAACTGGCAATCGACAAATATTTTTTCCAGCTCTGATTTTCTCTGCAGCCTTGAAAAAATATTTCTCTGAGGCCGCTGCTGCTGTAGTCCTGCAACAGGATGGCAGATTCCCAGCTTAGAAATGTCTTGTGCTGCATTTCTAGGCTCTAAAATCAGAACGAAGAGAACTAAACTAAACTAAACAAAGATGCTGAAGTATGGAGAGCCGGGACACGTAGTTGGGTTTCTCTACAGGGGCTTTGTGGCAGTGTTTCAAAAAACTGGCCCACACATCCTTGCTGTGGGTAACCACTGCAAAATGACATGGTCACTGCAGGGCGGTGGATGGGAGAATCAGCAGAGGGTAGGCACTAACCTGGGAATGGAGAAGCGATTTCATGGGTACCAGCACCAAAATCAGACTCACTGTGTGAAGAGAGTGCATTCCTATATGCAAGTGCACTGGGACCATATATTTATAGACTCCATTTCTCCTTGGGCCACTCCGTGTCAGAAGCTGAAAGGAGGAGTACAGTACAACAGTAGCCTGAAAACATTCTCCTCTAACTCCTGTGACTGAATCTAGTAGAAAAGCCACCATAGTTCCTTCCACCCGAGCAGACAGTTCCTGTGGGTGTCTTGTAGGGATGTTCAGACAGACAGGACAGCCTCCTGGTTCACTGGGAGGAGGTGGGGGAGGGGTGGGAGAAACTCCTTGGAGCTAAAACCCTTCCTCCCATGGCAGTGGCCTGGGAAAGCTGCCTGGCAGCCATTGCTTTTCTGAAGTAGCTATCATCCCCCCACTGCAGGGATGGGTTCTCAGTTTCCCTGCAATGGCTGCTGTTCTGGGGTCACTGCCTGTGCTGAAGGCTAAGCTGATTCCTCTGTACCTCTGAGTAATTTAAATCATCTCCCAACGAATTACTGAGTGAGTTCCTTATTAGGGGAGGAGGGATTATAGGAATGGCAGACACATCCAGAGTCCTCTTAGTCTTCCATGAGTCCACCAAGACCCTTGAAAGAGGACTTATTGCCTATAGCTTGGCAATGATGCTACCCGTCTAGGAAGTCACCACTCTGCTCAGTGTGCAAGGCTGGATCTGTGGCTGTATTAATCCCACTTCTCTTGTCATTGTCTCCATAACATGGAACTAGGAAAGAACCACCTAGAAAGGAAGTAGTTGTCCAAGTTCAGTTGGCTAATCATTTGGTCATGCGTAGCTAGGATTGGCTTTATAATTTGTGGAAATGTGCTAGTCAGATATCCATTACTATAACAAATTTTGGCTTACAGTTGGGGCTTTCAGTGCATGATTGGTTGGCCCCAATGATATGAGACTGTCAAGAAGCAGAACATCATGGCAGGCAGCTCGTGGTGGAACAAGATGCTCTTCTCCTGGTAGTTGGCAAAAGGCAGAGAGGAAAAGCCCAGTGTTCCACACAGTTTCCTTCAAGAGCATGCTCCTAGTGTCCTAAGACTTTTTTTTTCTTTCATTTTTTTTAAAGAGAGAGTGAGAGAGGAGAGAGAGAGAGAGAGAGAGAGAGAGAGAGAGAGAGAGAA